CAGGTCACCACAGCGCCCTGAGTAGGGTTCCCTGAGCTATACAGTGAGTTCACATTGTTGACCATTAGCAGGTTAGGATAGATAGGCAATATCTATGATTAGCTTATGTGTTTTCCCAGTGTGCACTCTGCTTTCTCCCATGGAAGTCTGTCAACATGGCAGCCATCCTTCCTTTCTGGTATCATAATGAGGCTCATTTGTGAGATTATGATGGCAGAACAAGAGATCCCAAAATAAGTCAATCTTGCTATAAAGCAAAGCCACTGGTCCCTAGAAGTTTCCGGGGTAGGATGTACATGAAAGATACACTGCCAAATGCTCAGGCAAGCTGGGTATGGCCCAAGCTAGCCTTCAGGAAATCTCCCTTACTCCCAGGATCAGATCTTCCCTCAAGTTAGTTGTATGGCAAGATAAGTGGCCAAAGTATCCAGCAGCAGGCTGTGGGTGAATTTATACCTCAATGTCATGGGCTCACAAAGAAAGAAGACACACAAAATGATGTGCGTATCTCTTTCAGACACAGTGATTCTGCCCAGTAGCAGGAATGAACCAGCTCTTGCCCTCAAATTGTAAAGGATCAGGGGAGTAGGGTTGGGGCTGGAAGGGCCCTCTTCCAACCCCGCCCATGAGAAGCATTCCAGTAATAATTCAGTGATTGTATAGTACATTATAATTTATAACTTCATGTACATTACCCTTTTTAATTCTCACTGTCTGAGTTATATTAACATTATCATCTCTGGTGGCTCAGAAGGTAAAGAATCTGCTTGCAGGGAAGGAGACCCCAGTTTGATTCCTGGATAGCGAAGATCCCCTGGAGAAAGGAATGGCTACCCACTCCAGTGTTCTTGCCTGGCAAATTCCATGAACAGAGGAGTCTGGTAGGCTACAGTCCATGGGGGCACAAAGAGTTGGACGTGACTGAGCAATTAACATTTTCACTTTTCATGGATGAAAGAACTAAGAGTTAGAGAAGTGAAACAACTTGGCCATGGGTTAAACAGTTTATAAGTGGTCCTCTAAGTGCAGTGGTTCTCTGTTATATCACGGCTGCTCCATATTATAGCAGGGATAGATTGCTCTGTGCACCTAATTTTATTTTCTGTCCAATAAGACAACAGTGCAGTTGCGGAAGTCATTTATCATTACTGAAGGGTAGTTTGGTGATTCAATAGAGTAATTTGAAGTTCTATAGTTTTTTAGTATTCCCATTATATATTCCTGGAGGATAGTCAATAAGATACATAAAAACTGTAAAAAGTTATTTTATAGATATGTGGTTTCTAAAGTCTGATGATTATCATTTCTAAATCTTGTTTCCATTCAAATACCATTAACCATTCAAAGACTGCATTGAGCTTCAGTCATCTGGAGTCATGTTGCAGGAAACCTCAGTAAAGAAATTCAGCATTTACACATAAGGAAAACTGAGCAAGTAAGCAAATATGCCATACCCAGAGTACCCATAGTATATGCAGAAGCACTGGTTTAGTCATTTTGGTTTGGACAGTGCTGGTTGGAAATACTTTCAAAATTTGAATTACTTTCTAGAACACTTGCCTTGGAAGAACGGATAATACATTTCAGACATTCTTTTGGGTCATTTTGAAATACCTTTTACTATTTAACCGTTGCATTTTACTGCTTAAAATATGTGTTCTGTCACTGGAAATACATAGTTTAATAAGCTTAAAATAAAAATATGAGTGAAACAATAGAAGATATAAAATATTATTTTTGAAAAATTATTCAGAGTATAATAATCTGGGATTTTTTTCTTAAAATGCCCCTGTTTTTCTTAGAACAGGCTATTTTAGTATTGGGAGAGCTAAAGAGGAATGGGTTATAGAATTTTCAGAGTTTATTTGAGAAACTGCTGTTTTCACCTCTTTAGAATTTTAGCTGAATCAAACTTGTATTTCTTCTTAAGTGTTACTGTTACATCAGTTTCCAAGATGGTTTCTTTGAATATTTTTGAGTTGTAATTCATCTTTAATCCTATTAGAGTTAATTTTTCACCAACTTTATTTTAGTTCCTTGTTAGATTTTAGATGATTTCTTTTTCATGTTTTTTTGTTGGCCAATTGTGAATATTGTGTTTTGGTTTATTGAATCATAGATTCCGACATTTAGTAATAGGAGTAAATGCTTTTTCTTTTCTTAAAGACCACAAGCATTTAGTAGTTTAATTACTCATATCATACTTTTTGTTTTTGTGTGTTTTAATATTTTCTCTTTAGTAGAATCTTTAGATTAAAAATATCAGTCAATAAAAAGTTTACCTGTCCATAAAAAAATATTAGCAGTATTAAACTAGTGTTTTGTTTTGGTGGAGGGAAGGAGGGTGACTTTCTTCACTTTAACTGAGAAATTCTAATTTAATTGTGACGCCCTCAGGAGATTTTCATAAAACTCACATGATGGTTAAGTCAGGCTTTGACAGGAACAGTGACTTTTCATTGCCCTCTGAAGCATCATGGGCTAGTCTGGCTGTAAGATTATGGAGTTAGAACCTGTCATCCTATTCTAAGATTTTCTTGCTTATTTGATATTATAATGACAATTAACTATTCCTTTTTAATAAAAAATAAAAGTAATTGAAAATTCAGGATACAGATTGGAGAACATTTGGTTGGCCACATCTATCAGTGGCCTCTGATGGCTCAGACAGTAAGGAACCTGCCTGCAATGCAGGATTTGATCCCAGGGTCCAGAAGATCCCCTGGAGAAGGAAATGGCTACCTACTCCAGTATTCTTGCCTGGAGAATTCCATGGACAGAGGAGCCTGGTGGGCTACAGTCCACGGGGTTACAAAAAGTCAGACATGACTGAGCTACTAACACTTTCAGCTTCATCTATCAGTACTTTCTTAGTTTCTAGAATTTTAGTTGCTCAGGTTGGTGTTACCATAAGATGGGTTGTCACCCTGTAATTTTTAGCTGTAATATGGTATCATTGTTGAATCCTGCTAGTTTTGCTGGTTTTTGCTAACAAACTATGCTTTTCATGTTGCAAATTTTCTAGATTGAGATATTCAGGAGCAGATTTCCTATGAAGATAAAAGACCTTAACCTTTATGCCTTTCCGTGAGTGTATGGCTTTCAAGGCTCTGTAATTAATTTTGTTTTATAAATTTAATATTCTGCTCCTTAAAGAGGGCCTCTAGAGCTGTATAGGCTTCGAGTCCCACCCCACTTGGATTTACTGCTGGCTAATAAGTTAATTTCTTGAAAATTCTAAGAAAAGCAATGACAAACATATACTTGAGGTTTCAAAAACTGTCAGGTCACACATATTTTTCCTGGTGGAAGAAATGATGTGGACAATCATAGCAACTAGTAGAACTAGGTATTTGAAACCATATGCACAGCTTATGATTGCAAAAGCATCAAGACTAATTTTAGAGTCTTGTACTCCTTTGACTGAGTTCTGTTTAATTTGCAGACTTTTGGTGAAGTTCTCTTAAAAAAATAGATAATTTCAAATGTTAGGAAATGTTTGTGAGATGTGGAAGTTTACTCTTTGATCTCTGTTTTTATGCTCCTCTAGCCACAGTAATAGGGTATGTTTCCTTCAATTTCTCTTCTTTATTTTCCTTCCGTTGGGTCTACTTGTATGTATTTCAAAAAAATCCTCATAAGTAACGAGAATGCCAATTCAGTAATGCATATAATACTGAATCTTCACATTTCATTGTAGTATAGGAATGTGAGAAAACCATATAAGTTGAAAGCACATAGTGTGATCTTAATATTCAATGAAAAGTATGATTGTTCCATGACCTTTAACAATGTTTGTCAAAGCATTAAAAAAAAAATCTCTTCCTGTTGGTTTTAAGTGCAGGGAAATGAAAACAGTAGTAACACTGATATTTATTTAGTACATTACTTAGTGATCTATAACATTAGAAACATTGAGATTAAAGTGTTTCATTTCTTTGCAAAAACCTATCATAAGTCATTTGAACAGTTCTTGCATTCTTGTAATATATTTTATGATATGAAGAGAGCATTTTTTCTACCTCTTAGCGAACAGTGTACTTCTTTTAAGTTTGAATCCTCTTCAACTTTATCCTTTTACTTTCAGTACTGTGAATTACTTCCTAGTACTCCTTTAATGTGAAGGGTTTTTTTGTTTTTTTTTTTAAATGGTATTACGTCCCCTTGGAAACGTTGGTCTTTTTTACAACAATCCTTTTACTGATCTATGTTGATAGGTTTGTCCTCACTAGGTTCCTCTGGCTGCATATTTCAAGTCTCTCAAGTACAGCAGTGTCAACATCCCACCATTCTTTCAGAAGAAATAACTTCTTTTACATTTAATTTGAATTTCACCTCCACCATGATCACTTTACATTTCTTTGGTGGGCTTTAACCTTTGATGGTTAATTCCTGCTTTTGTTTCTCCATTTTTGTAAAATGGCCCATGAGTGTACCACTGAGAGACAAGGAGGCAACACTACCGCACACTTTGCTGTCTATGCATGAGCTGAGTAGTGGACGCACTGTAATTCTGACAAACTTTAAAGCAAGTAGTGAAATTGATCACTGATTGTTATGTGTACCTGTTATTTATTCGTGACTTGTAGACTGATGATATAGCAGCAAAGTTTATACTTTATGGTATCGATCATAGTTAATATACTATGAAAACCAAAATTTGAACTGTGTTGTTGGGAAACTGGTATTATTTAACAACAGGAATGTTTAAGCAACTAAAATTGATGCATACTGGACTTGTGTAAAGTAAGGACTGTTTTTCTCTCTTATTCTTTCTCACTATATGTTCAAAATCACTTAAAAAGCTAGCTTCTAGCAAGAGTGTAATAGTCATGATTAAAACATGGTTTAAATATTTTAGTTCATTTTGTGGAAGCAATTATTTTGTAACTAACTTTGAATTCTTAATTTAAAAAAGACAAGTATATGATTTTGTGTAGCATTTGAAAAGCAACCCCAAACTGAAATGGATTGTTTGGTGTTTTTTTTTTTTCTTCCAGTTTTATGTATGGAGAATTGACTGACAAAAAAACCATTGAGAAAGTCAGGCAGACTTTTGACAACTACGAGTCAAACTGCTTTGAAGTTCTTTTGTACAAGAAAAACAGTAGGTATCTAAGTCATCAATAAGATGTGTCAACTCCTTATTAATATTATATATTGGTAAGTGGTAGCTAAGCTATAGTGTAGAGAGAATATAAAAGATTTATTGCTTCTCTTGGCAGGAGGTATTTGTAAAAATTAGCAAAATTAATAAATAATGCTTATGAAAAACAACCTTTTGAGGAATGAAAGACAAATATAATGCATTTTGAATGTGATTTCTTTTGTGTGTCAGATGGCAGGTTATTTTGTGATTAATACCTATGGTAAAGATCCTATAGTTATGTGACAGCAGCTAAAAATGACTGAGAAAAACCACTACAATATTGTAAAGTAATTAGCCTCCAACTAATAAAAATAAATGAAAAATAAAAAAAGAAAAAAAATGAGAAATTCGTTCATTTCTTCTTATGGTTAAAGGGAAAGTGGATTGTTATCAGTGAGTATGTTATCTTTCAACATATACATAGATGACATGTGAGTGTATGGTATCTACCTGAGGTGAATCTTTACCAATATGGTTGTTTGCTAGACCAGACTGCTTTGTGGCAAGACTGGTGAGAATAGTTGTTACTTTCAGAAAGTACCATTCACATCTGGTAACTTTGTATTGATTATATGTGCTGTTGGCTAATGATGGGAGATATGAGTGGTCGGTTGTCCATTATATAATCACATAATACGTCATGATACGGGTCTTAGGTAATTATGAGTGAGTTTGATGAGACTCTCCAATAGAGTTTGGAGGAAACAAACAACAAACAAAAAACCAACTAATACACTCATCAACCAAGTCTCCTTTCTAATTTGTTTTTTATGAATAGTCACTTACTTTATTTTTTTTTTTTTGCTGCATTTCCAAATGGGCCCCCCCCCTTTTTTTTCCTAAAGAACAGTTACTGCATAAGATGAGTCAGCTTATTTAGTGTTAATGGTTAAACGATAGCAAAGCCAATTATTATCTTTAGTGAAAATTGATGGTTACTAAATTCTTCCCCAGTTCAGGAAGCATTCTAGCTTCAACAGGAAATGCTTGTACCAGGTTTAGTGCTGGTTGGGTTTTGTGAAGCATAGTTTATCCTCTCCATTGTACCTTAAACATTTGTCCTCTGTTGAATATTTAGGTTTTCTTTTTATTAATAGGCCATCATATGGATAACGACAACCATAGGCATTGCTTCACATTAGTAGTGAAGTTCCCATTACCAGGTGCTATTGGCAATGGAAGAATTAGTTTCAGTGGTTTTACCTAAGGAATGTTCTGTCATCTTATTTTTCATTATAGAATCAAGACTGAAAATATATTTCTCTTTGACATCATATCCAACTGTCTATTGGCTTGTCAACTAGAGAACAATCCATTCTTAATAATTAGCTCTGTCTTCTATAAGAGAAAAGCCAGTTTCTAGGTGCTTTCTGGACTTTTTCACTAGATCCAAACACATACTGATATTTTGTAGCCAAAACTTGTATGCCCAAACTCCCTTTCTTTCTTTCTTTCTTTCTTTTTGCCTCACCGCAAGGGAGGATCTTAATTCCTTCACCAGGGATTGACTCATGTCCCTGCAGTGGAGGTGTAGAGTCCTAACCACTGGACCACCAGGGAATGCCCCCTTGCATTTTTATACAGGGTTGTTACCCCTTGAATGACTTCAGTATATAACTCAAGTTTAGCAAATGATTTAATATTATTCCTTATTACTAAGATCATTTTAGGGGCTTCCCTGATAGCTCAGTTGGTAAAGAATCTGCCTATAATGCAGGAGACCCTGATTTGATTCCTGGGTCGAGAAGATCCGCTGAAGAATAGATAGGCTACCCACTCCAGTATTCTTGGGCTCCCCTTGTGGCTCAGCTGGTAAAGAATTCACCTGCAATGTGGGAGACCTGGGTTTGATCCCAGGGTTGGGAAGACCCCCTGGAGAAGGGAAAGGCTACCCACTCCAGTATTCTGACCTGGAGAATTCCATGGACTGTATAGTCCATGGGCTCGTGGAGAGTTGGACACGACTGAGTGACTTTTACTTCATTAAAGTCATTTTTACCCTGAGATTTGAACAGAATAATCTTTTTTTTTTTCTTCTGATTTTAAAGCTTCAAAGTCAGATCCATAGTTTCTGATTGTCTCAAAAATATCTTGTGGAAATTTTGTTTTGTTTATATCTTTTAAATCATGTTAGCAATAACTTTAATATTTCATTTCTAACAGTTTCCTATGAAGGTGGTTTGGATAGTTTGCTTTATGTTAATAGCTTGTAATAATTGTCTGGCCCTTGTTCATGCCTGTCTGGTTCTTTTCAGATAACTTATATATGCATAGTTGTCTGTTTGGAGTCAGTAGGAGTTATAGCACATAGCACTCTATATTAAAACTCCTGTCATTTCTGGATAGTATCTGCATTGAGTTTTTTTCTTAATATGAAGAATAGATATTGTCCATGCACTATAATGGAGTCCTACTATACTTAAAAGCAATAGCTAGGGCAACTCAAAATAATCAATGCCTGGGCACTGCATTGAGTTTCCAGCAGCTACAGGTCTCTCTACCTAACCCTCCCAGACTTTCCATCACTTTGAACTCAAATCCAGAATATAGATATTCACCACCCATACAGCAAAACTCAGCCTCCTTGGAGAAGTCTGAGCCTGTGACTAAACTTGTAAAAAGTATACTGTGATTTCTGAAAGCAATTTTAACAACAGCTCTGACTCAATGCCGAAATTTGAAAAGTTGCTGTTTTCCTTGGAAGGTCTGAGCTGTAACATCATCTCTTTCTGTTTAGATTTCTAGCAGACCTTGGAAAACGACTTATTTTTAATGCCCTTTTCTCTCTGTTTATGACCTACTGCCTCAAGCTCACTGTGTTGGAACAGCCATAGGCCATGTATCTGCGAGCGTCTGGGTCTGGTGATTTGTCAAACTATGCACATCACTCACAGTTCATGGACTCACTGTGTAAAATAAGAAGCAGAAAACAAAGACCAAACCTTTCTGGGAGATGGTGGGATTGTTTTTGAGGTCCCTGTCTCATCCTGTAATCATTTTGGAAAAGACTGTGTCCTTCTGTAGGCTCCCTGGGGTTGCAAAGGACCTGGTTGTCAGAACTGAATATTTATAAAAACCTCTTCTCTGGAATTCTTTGACTTCTAGCATCCGGTAGTCAAGTCACCTATTCTGTGTAAATGGCAAATTTCCCTTTATGGTTATATTATCACCGGACAATTTTTGACCACAGATATGGAGATGCTTCTTATGGGTTTTCATTGAAAGTCACTAACAGGCTAAATCTTGCCTCTAAAGATTAAATATTAACAGCTGCACATCTCACTCCCCAAATCCTAAACCTGACAAAAGACCATATGTCTTTAAAATAGAATATTCAGAGAGGCTTTACTGCGCTGTGGCTTGGAAAGACTGTAATGAAAAATGCATCATTTTGATTCTGATGGAAAATTCCCTCAGTGTTTTATCATTTAGTGAGTAATTACTCCTTTGAAGGCATTTCTTGTGTCTTCAAATATTTATTATTTGATGTAATGCCAATTTCTGATTTGTCCAAATCCTAAGGCTTGAATACTTTAAAACACTGTGTGTTCTGAAGTCTGCAGGAGCTATTGTTTGAAGATCATTGTGACAGAGTCCAGGCTCATGCTTTGAGCAAGGAGGTTGGAAGCAGTGTCTCATGAAGAGGTCTGAGACTTTCAAGGCCTGGGGGCATTTTTTTCTTTAACACTGCCTTAAAGTCTTCAGGTATAACTTTCTGTACATCAGGCTTGTAATGTTGCTGACATCCTCTCTCTCTGATGTGGGGATGTGGTCAAAGCTGAAGAGTTTAAGTCTGTTTGACTGATGAGATAACCTTGAGGTAGAAACAGCAATTCAGAAGTTCCTGCAAGAGAAATACTTATCAAAGCATCAGGTATTGATGTTGAAGTCGACTGGAAACACTTCTCGATGTAACATGGAGAAGCACATAGGAATGCTCACACTTGGTGAAAATATGGAAGGGAATTGGTGAAAGCAGCAGTGGTGTAGAGACCCAGATCTAAAGGCGACTCTGAAAGAAACGTGGACGTGTTAGTCCTTCAGTCATGTCCAACTCTTTGTGACCCCAGAGACTGTAGCTCACCAGACTCCCCTGTCCATGGAAATTTCTAGGCAAGAACACACGAGTGGGTAGCCATTCCCTTCTGCAGGGGATCTTCCTGACTCAGGGGATTGTCCTCACCCAGGCCTCCCTCACTGCAGGTCGATTCTTTACCATCTGAGCCGTCAGGAAGCCCCATTAACAATACTTAAATAGCAAGACTGCCTACATTCCACTGTATTATGAAATGATGCCCTGTGCTTTATTTTCAAATTTTGATATTTTGAGTTGAAAAACATATTCATTAATTTTTGAGCAACTGGTAGTTGATATAAAATGAAAATTTTACTGATTCTTTTCAGTAATTAAAATACTGTTGTTTTGGTGCTGATTCCTGGCATAGCAGTTTGTGGCTGAAGGAGGAGGGAAAGCAGGAGACCAAATCATTGTGGTGGCTGCATCACACTGTTGTCCTTTCTCTCTTTTACAGGAACCCCTGTTTGGTTTTATATGCAAATTGCACCAATAAGAAACGAACATGAAAAGGTGGTTTTGTTCCTATGCACTTTCAAGGATATTACGTTGTTCAAACAGCCAATAGAGGATGATTCAACAAAAGGTAATTTTCTTTTTTTTTTTCATTTATTTTTATTAGTTGGAGGCTAATTACTTTACAATATTGTAGTGGTTTTTGCCATACATTGACATGAATCAGCCATGGATTTACATGTGTTCCCCATCCCGATCCCCCCTCCCGCCTCCCTCCCCATCCCATCCCTCTGGGTCTTCCCAGTGCACCAGCCCTGAGCACTTGTCTCATGCATCCAACCTGGGCTGGTGATCTGTTTCACCCTTGATAGTATACTTGTTTCAATGCTATTCTCTCAGAACATCCCACCCTTGCCTTCATACTTAAGGATTAGCCTGTCATTTAAATATAGTATTATTATTTTAACAATATCCATGAGTTGAACTTTTAAAACAAAACTTTACTATGTGGCCTTTCTTTGGCTTTATATTTATTCTACTAATTGTCCAGAATCAATTTTATTCAATCATATGGTTTGAATGGAAATAGGACATTGAAATATTAGGTGGTTAACTTATTTTAAGAGAAATTGAGATGAACTATAAGGAAGAGATTTCACGGAGCATTATAAATTTTGAATCAATATGGGAATTTCAACAACTTCTATCATACTGAGACTTAGAAACAAAAAGTATAACAGCTTGTGGGTTTGTTTGGTGAAGTCCTACTGGAGCACAGTTGATTAGTTGATTGAATTTTGTTATATTGATTAGAGCATGAATAGCTGACTTTTTCAGGCTACTTTTCTTCCTTTATTTAGTTGTTGTAGATTCTCTTGGGTAGATGTTGTTTAATTATGTGAACAATTTTGTCATCCAGAAAGTGGCTGGTAAAATGCAAACATTCTGATTTGAGTCTTATTGACTATAATATTCAGAGAGACTACTATAGAAGACATTAGTGAGTGGTATGTGCTTCTATCCCCTTTTATATGTAATTTACTCTCATTTTATTCTCTCTAATTATTTTTAAATTATATATAAATGAAGAATTTTAAATAACCTTAGAAGAAGTTTTTATGAAATGGTATTTTTAATTATCTCTTAGGAGACTAAAAATGGAATGTTTTCTTTACATTTAGCAAACATTGAATTTTTTTACCTCTTAAAAAAATTGGCATAGCAATTTTAATCTTTTCAACTGTAATCATAATCAGAGAAAAATTACATGTGTATATATATGTGTGTGTATATATATATATATCATATATGTACACTCATGTATGTGTATGTATGCTCAGTTTCTGTTTAGGATCAAATTGCAAGAGGAAAATTTTATGAAGTGCAGATCATTTAAAGTATGACAGAGAGCAATTCATTGTGACTATTTCTGAAAATGTGTATATAAAATCATATCCTGGAAGTTCAAATAAAGTATTCACTTTTCAACTTGTACTATCTGTTGCTCTGATTTTACTTGTAGACCTGGTATCTAGGAAGTTTAGGATATATTGTAATATTATTTTTAACAGAATAGTTTTCTAATAGTGTTTAGGTTTATTGCATCTTTGTTTTGAAATTCAAGGTGCTCCATTCAACAGCAGCAGAATGCATATTCTTCTCAAATTAAGTGGAACATTCACTAGACAGATCATATTCTGGCCATAAAACACACTTTAAAAGCTTTAAAAGAGTATAAATCTTGCAAGGTATGTTCTCAGATCAAAATGGAGTTAAGCCAGGAATCAATGAGAGGAAGACAGGTAGAAAAATCCCCAAATATTTGGAAATTAACAGATTTCTAAGTACCCTATGGGTCAAAGAAGAAGTCTTAAGATAAATTATAAAAATATTTTGAACTAAATGAAGACTTAAATATGACATATCAAGTTTCTGAGATGTAAAAGCAGTGCTTAAAGGGAAATGTATGTCATTAAATGCATATATTTGAAATGAAGAAAGATATGAAACTAAATATCTAAGCTTTCACCTTAGGCAACTAGACAAAGGAGAGTAATTTAAACCAAAGCAAGCTGAAGACAAGAAGTAATAAACCTTAGAGTAGAAATCAATGAAATAGAAAAAAATTAGAGAGAATCACTGCAACCCAAAAGCTGATTCTTGGAAAAGAATGTTAAAGTAAGCAAACCTCTAGCCAGGATAACCAAGAAAAAGGGAGAAGGCACAAATTACCATTACCAGAAATTAAAGAAGGGCCATCACTACATATCCCATGAGCATAAAAGCACGTAAAGAAATACTTTGGGTGATTTGATAGCCACCTAATCGATAACTTAGTTAAAATGGACCAATTCCTTGAAAGACACAAACTACCAAAACTCATAATAGGAGGAATAGATAAGCTGAATTGTCTTATATCTATTAAATAAGTTAATAATTAATACAGTTTCAAAATAAGAAGTGCAGATAGTTTCATTGGTGAATTCATAGTCTCTTCCAGAAAACAGTGGTAGAGAAAACTCTCCTTACTCATTCTACGAAGCCAGTTGTTCCATTATACCAAAACCAGAAAAAGATATTACAGACCAACATTTCTCGTGAATGTAGATATAAAAGTCCTCAACAAAAATAGATTGTGAGGATGTGTTAAAAGAATTACACTTAATGACTAAGTGAGATTTATTCCACATGGAAAGATGTTTCAAAATTCAAAAACCTGTCACTATCATTCGTAGTACTGATATCAGGTTAAAGAAGAAAATTGATTTGATCATATCAGTTGGCATAGAAAAAGCATTTCACCACACCCAATAGTTGTTAATGATAAAAACTCACAGCAAAGTAGGAATAGAGAACTTCCTTAACTTGACAATAAATATTTATGAAAAACCTGCAGCTCACAGCTGTCTGTATCTTAAAGTGCCATATATATATTTTTAGTTTTTATTTTATGCTAAAGTAAAATGATATATGATATGTTTGTAGAGTTGATTAACTATGTTGTGTTATTAATAATTTCAGGTGTACAGCAAACTGATTCAGTTATACATAAACGTGTCTATTCTTTTTCAAATTCTTCTCCCATTTAATTTATTACAAAGTATTGGGCAGAGTTCCCTATGCTATACAGTAGGTCCTTATTGGTATCCATTTTAAATATAGCAATGTGCACATGACAATCTCCCAATCTGTCCCTCCCTCTACCTTTTCCCCCGGTAACCGTAAGTTTGTTAGTCTGTTTCTGTTTTGTATATATTTGTTTGTATCATTTTTAAACATTCTGCATATAAATGATATCTTATGATGTTTGTCTTTCTCTGTTGACTTACTTCATTGATTTTGATAATCTCCAGGTCCATCCATGTTGCTGCAGATGGCATTATTTCATTCTTTTTAATGACTGAGTTATATTCATATATATATATAAATATATATATATTTATACCACATCTTTATTCATTCATCTCTTGATGGACTTTTAGGTAGCTTTCATGTCCTGGCTATTGTAAATGGTGCTTCAATGAACATCGCAGTGCACATATCCTTTCGAACCATGTTTTTCTTGTGATATATGCTCAGGCATATATGTGGGATTGCTGGGTTATACGGTAGCTCTATCTTTAGTTTTTTAAGGAATCTTCATACTGTTTTCCATAGTGGCTGCACCAATTTACATTCCCACTGACAGAATGGGAGAGTTGCCTTTTGTCCCCACCCTTGCTTGTATTTATTGTTTGTAGACTTTGATGAAGGTCATTCTGACAAGTGTGAGGTGATATAGCATTATAGTTTTGATTTGTTTTTCACTTATAATAATTAGTGATGTTGAACATCTTTTCATGTGCCTCTTGGCCATCTGTATGTCTTCTCTGGAGAAATATCTATTCTTGTCTTCTGCCTATTTTTTGATTGGATTGTTTGTTTTTTTAATATTGAGCTTCAGCAAATTGTTTGTAAATTTTGGTAAAGTGCTATATTCTAAAATAAAAGATAAATGATTGGCATATGACTTGTGACCCAACATATTCTTCAGATGAATTTTACAGCACAATGTAACTGTGAATGGTGTATATGAGCTACTTTCTATTATTCATGTGAGTTGTAAATTTAATATGAAAAATTCAATAGAACTAAAATATTTATGCCATTAAGCAATCATCCTACTGTCCCCATGAAACTAGCATATCAGAAAGTATATTTTGAAAACTTGGTGCAAAAATGCATCTTTTGACTTTTTGAGCAAAGGGGACCATAGAACTTTTGGGAAAGAGCAGATGAGAATTCATGATAACACCAGAGTATCAATATGATTTGAGTATAGATCATTGAACATGGAGGCAGCAATCTTAATTTTTTACTGAAATATAAATGCTTTGTATTTTGTGTTAGTTTCTGCTATATGATCAAGTGAATGAGTCATATGCATACATACATCCCTTCCCTCTTGGAGCTCCCTCCCGCAGCCTCCTCTCACCTCTCTAGATCATCACAGAACACCTGCTGAACTTGTGCTTATAGAAGCTTCTCACCAACTACCTATTTAACACACGGTGGTATATATATGTTAAGCCTAATCTCTCTCTCTTCATCCCACCCTGCCCCGCCCTGCACCATGCCCACATGTCCATTCTCTATGTCTGCATCTCTCTTCCCACCTTGAAAATAGGTTCGTCTGTACCATTTTTCTAGATTCTACATATATAGTAATGTTACTTTAGATTCAACCTTGGGCACCAGAGTTACTTAACCTGAGCCTTTTTGTGACTCTTCTAGGAGTTATTTTTTCTTTTTGTTAATTTTATTTATTTATTTTTCCCCAACCAAGCATGCTGACTGAGCACACAGTATGGTGCTGGCACTGTTAACTAGGTCTTGGAGACACAAAGTTCCTTCCATTATATCCTAATGGGGAGAGGGGTGGTGTGAAAAAAAAGAAAAGATATATAATGAAAGCTTTCTTCTGATTACTCTTATTTTCTCAGTAAAAGAGGAAACATGGTTATCAGCTGAGAGTAAGGATGGTGAGGCGGTAAGGAGGGGTTGAAGGGGAGAGGAGGAGGAAGTATGAAACAGTTGTGTAGAGAGTGGAGCAGTGAGTGGCTAAGGTGAAATTCAGCAGGTTTTCAGTGCAGCACTAAGGTCCACGTGAGACTTGTGACCATACATTTTGTTCGTATCTATGAGCGTGATTATGTGTTTACTCCACCCTAGTATAGTCAAAGGTGTGTAGATGGTGAAGTAGGTGAGTTGGATCTAACCAGAGTTGGGATTTGGTTAGGTGAGCAAGATGAAAAGAATCCGGGAGCTCAGGGATCAGGGAGAAGGGATCAAGGAGCTGAGGATATTTGCAACAGAATAGGTTGAAGGTGTTTGCAAAAACTTGAAGCAATACTTAGATAATAAAAGCTTGGCTGGGGGTATAGAAAACAGTGTTTTTAAATGCAGAACAAACAAGTGAATCCACACATAGGAAAGCCAGGATATAACTTTTAAAAAAATTTCTAGAACAAGGCCATTTTACCTTTTTTAATGTGGAAAAGGGCAGTGATTGGAACAAAGGCCCATATCTTTTAAGAATGTGTCAAAATTCATTGAAATTGGTATCAGTCTCCTTTGGCTTATGTTGGTATTTTTACCAAGAAACTCAGACATATAGGTCAAAAACATGAGTAAATTGGCTGACTGTGAATTGTACTTCTAAGTTGTATCTGGAATGGTAACTAGAGTGTAATGGCAGCCAACTAATTTGAGAGTAGTACTTCTTCATAATGAATCTTATGATCACCAAAACTTCATTCTAGATGAATTTCTGCCTTTAAAATGAATGGCACTGAGTGATGTCAACTTATATATACATGATGGGTGGTAGCAGAAACTATTGAAGGGGAAGAAACCAGTCTTGATGAAGCAGTTAATATGTGTCAGGAGCTTTGTATTCTTTATAGCTCATTCCTATAATTCTGAAATTAGTGTTATTACCTCCATTTTGCTGTTGAAGATTCTGACACTCAAAGTCTGACTGATTTTCAATCCAGTGTTCTCTCTATTGGACCATGCTGCCTTATCCCTTTCCAGTGGATACTTACTGGGGTTTGGCCACCTTAAACCCTCTGCTCTCCTTCTTCCCTACAAAGATGAAACACAGGTTGAGAACAGTCTGATTCTGACAGGACTGTACTGTTTTGAATCAACAGAATTTACTGATGATAATTCAAGGAGGGAAATGTGTTTTTGTTATCTTTTGTTTCTGATACTGAGGTCCCGGGACTGTTGCTCAGATTACCAGTCAGTGGTACCTGATACATCATTTATAATAATACAGTGGGGAAAAATTACAGCCAAGAAATTCATTCTGTTGATTATCCATATGTGTTCTAAAAGCGATGGTTCAAATCTCTGCCCATTTATACAGTACAGTATTTTCAAACAGATTCAAAAACTGCCAAGACACTTAACAGTGTGAAATATCCTGTGCCAAATAGTTGTGGCATCTTTGTGCCAATAATTGAGGCAAAAAAAGTTCCTGTAGAATGAAAATAACAGCAAAAATAGCAGCTTTCCCCCTGTAGGAAGCCAATGGTTTTCTTTAGAGAGGAAACAACAGGTGAAATATGAGTAATTATACCATGCAGTCTCTTTGGCCAAGAGTATAATTGTTTACCTAAGCTTTTTTCTTATAGATTAGAATCTTGTGTTGCAATCTAGTAGATTGATTGAACTGCTTCTGTGACTTCCTTTTATTTTTAAGATTAGGCAGTCCATGACAAAGAGGTTAATTGCAACCCAATAGAGCTAAACTAATGTTTTATTAAGAAGGAGTTGGCATCCTAAGCTTTTAGGAGAACAAATGTTCTCATAATGCCATGAACAACTTATAGAGCAAGTATTAGGCTCTTCATATTCAGCTGTCTGTTCACATTACCCCATATCGACCACATCTAAGTAACATCAGCGAACTGTGCTGAATAATCAGTCACACCAGTTAGGTCTCAGTAAAGGTGAAATCAGTAAATGTATCGCTGGGGAAAGTTAGAACTGCTGATATGCCTTTTTTTCCCTCTGACCTAGACAGTGTGACTGCTTAACTTTTTCAAAGTTTGACTGTTTAGTGGGGGCTGCTGACAGATCAAATGAACTAATTCATTTAGTCACATGGGCAATTCCAGATGTATCCAAGAGCACAAAAGTATATAGGTATAAGGAAATTCACTGTGGCGTTGTTAGTGATAGTGAAAAATCTAAAAGTCACGTAAATGTTCGTAAGTAGAATATATACATGATCATCAGAAAGGAGCAAATGCCTAATTCTCTGAGATAATAAAGGTACAGGCAAGAATCAGTTACTATGGTTGGGTGGAACTTGAGATGGAGGGAACAGAAGGGAGGTTGAAGGCTTTTGTGTTTCTTCTCTCTTCTGTTTTTTCAATAATATATTTGATAAGGTAATATGCTGAGAGTGAGGACAGAGGGACAGCATAAAGAAAATAATGCTGTTTAGAAATGAGGACTGCAAGAAAGCTCTCACCAGAGTGATCAAAATATCACTGAGCAATTTAGGGAGTGCATCTTTGATTGCTCCCTTTGATTTATGTTTTTTTTTTCCATTTATTTTTATTAGTTGGAGGCTAATTACTTTACATCATTACAGTAGTTTTGTTATACATTGAAATGAATTAGCCATGGATTTACATGTATTCCCCATCCCGGTCCCCCCTCCCACCTCCCTCTCCACCCGATCCCTCTGGGTCTTCCCAGTGCACCAGGCCCGAGCACTTGTCTCATGCACCCAACCTGGGCTGGTGATCTGTTTCACCCTAGATAATATACATGTTTCAATGCTGTTCTCTTGAAACATCCCACCCTCGCCTTCTCCCAGAGTCCACAAGTCTGTTCTATACATCTGAGTCTCTTTTTCTGTTTTGCATATAGGGTTATCGTTACCATCTTTCTAAATCCCATATATATGTGTTAGTATGCTGTAATGTTCTTTATCTTTCTGGCTTACTTCACTCTGTATGTGAATCAAAACACTCCCTGGCTTTGCATTGGTTTTCTAGCTCTGCGAGCATTTTGATATTGAAGTGCTTAAATGGTTAAATGATTAGACAACTGCCTTTGCTTCCTCTAGGAAGAATCCTTACCAAGTATTGATATTTCCTTCTAAACTTCTCTCGGTATGTCTGAGTCAGTTTGACAATTGTCACCACCTTTTTTTTTTTTTTTCTGTTAACAACTCCCCAGTTTTCATTTTAAGAGAAAAATTATAGTCCTCCACACTTCCTCCTCAACACTCTACCATACCCTTTCTAGCTTCTCCAACCCAAAGCCCTTCCTTCACAAGGCAGAGTTGTATTAGTATCTGCTAAGAGCTGAACATAGAAAACCAGAAGATTTGCTTCTTTATATTCTAATTTTAACTACTAATACATATAATCTGGATGCCGTGTTAATTTCTATTGAACTTTTTAAAATGTTCTCATTCATTCAGAAATGTGTCTAGTGCCCACTATGTGACAGTCATGGAACTAGACAGCCAGGGATAGAAAGAATAAAATCTGGCACCTAAAAGTCATATCATGCAGTAAACTCCCTTTTCATCTATGTTTAAGGGTTGTTTCAGAATATACTGTGTGAAAGTTTCAGAATGAAGAATTAATGTTTTTATTTCTGTTTCTTTCTACTGTTTACCATGTTTTATTTTCACAGTTTTAACATTTTGTCTTCCTCCAGGACATTGAAATAAGGTAAAGGGATGAAATAGTTCTTGATTACATTGACTTCATATGTATGATGAGATACACAAACACAGGCACAGTTGTTTTATGTTTAAATGAGGAACTGCTGCTTCCTCATTAAAAAACTGTAGTGTGTACTCATGATTCTTGAAATAGAAAATCAGAGGATGATGATAAACATTCATTATTATGTTTATCCTTCCTCCCGCATTTGCTTCTTTGTACTATCCTAGGAAAGGAGTGAACACATGGTATTTGATGATTTGTATTCTCCCATGTGTTATTGAATTTATTCCTTTGATGTCTCCTTTAATTTTTAAAAAATATTTTCTGAACAAACCATTATCACACACAGGGAATAAAAATTAGCTTCTGTTTTAATCCAATAATCAGATGTACTAATAGGTGCAACATTATTCATCTTAGAAATATCAACTTTGAGTTAGTATAAGATTGACTTGCAGTAATTCTTGGCAGTCCAGTGGCTAGGACTCTGTGCTTTCATTGTTGAGGGCCTGAGTTTGATTTCTCATCAGGGAGCTAAGATCCTGCAAGACTTGTGGCTCAGCTAGAGAAAAAGAAAAGAAAGGAAACTGAATCAATGTTGACTTGGAAGTTTCTAAAAATATTCACTGCAATTATAATACTCAGTTGCTGTAGAAAGAGAAATGATCAACAGGAAATATTTTAATATACCTGCTGCCAATATAGTTGCTGTCATATGAGGACATCCTTATCATTTTAACCCGGTAAATAAAAAACCAAACCAAAATCCAGTGATAATAATATGTGACAATATTTCATATTAATGTTCATGATAATAAAAATGCAGCTTATTTTTAAATATTATTTTTAATGTTACAAATAACTTGATTAGTTAGTCAATTAAAGGTCGATTTTATGGCAAGCCTCTACCAAGTTCTGAGAATGGAGAGATGAATGGCAGTTTAATGGGAGTGACTGACATGCTTATCAATGACTGCATTAGTATTGTTAGTGCCATGTGAGGTATGTATCCTGTAGTGTGAATGCACAAAGGATAGTACATCTCTCATGGGTGCATCCAAGAAGCTTCCAGTGGATCCCAGGATGCTTTGAGTTTGGAGGTACCAGTAAGCATTAGCCAGAATGATGGGAAGGGAAAAAGCATTTCGAGCAGGCAGCATGATTATAACGTGTGAAAACATGAAAACATTGAATGTCATAGGGTGAACAAAGAATTCCTAATGGATTTAGTTTTGTTTTTCAATTTGTCATTTTAATTTGTTAGTGATTTGAGTATAGAGTGTGTATGAGAAGTAGAAGGAGATGGATGCAGAGCAAATCTTTAGGGTCAGAGACTAAATGACACATATACCAAGGATAATCAGTGTTATCCTGAAGGCCTCTAGGGATCTCTTAAAGAATTTAAAATGGGAGAAGGGCATAGTAAAACTTGTGCTGTAGAAAGAGCTCTGGCATCAATGTGGAAAATATGTGGTCAGAGAACAGAATATAGACTAAAGTTTTTAGGAGCTACTGTCTAACTCAGGTGAAAGATGATATATATGACATGACATATTAGAGATGGAGAAAGGAGATTAAATTTTAGGATATTTATGGAAGGAATTGGATGTGTGTGTGTGTGTGTGTGTGTGTGTGTGTGTGATGTGATAGTGAAGGAGGCTGGTGAATCTCAAGTTTCTGATTTGGACAGCTGGAAATGTTGTTGAGTCATTCACTGAGACCAAGAATCCATGAAAAAAGCAGAGTTGGAGATGTGGGGAGAAGGTGATGATAAGATCAGTTTTGAACATGTTAAGAGTCATCTGAGTAAGAGGTGACCAATGGCCAATTAGACATAGGTCTAGTACTTGGAAGAAAAGTCTAAGTTGGTGATATAGATTGTTTGATAGTGTTTTATGTTGATGTTTAGTTCTTAAGAGTTGATGGCATATCTGGTACTTCCTTGTTTCTCTAGCATATTGCACAGGGCAAACTTTAGGGTTGCATACAATTTCCAAAACCTAACATTCTAGTCACTAGAATGAGCACCATTAATGAAAAAGAATAAAAAATCTTCTATCAACCAGTACCAGTTTGCTCTTTTCCCCAATCCAATAGTTAATATCATAGAGTAAGCTGAATTGATGGGCCAATATAAGGCCTAAACGAAGCCAGAATTAGATTGAAGAATAGCAGTAAAATATGATGTCATCTACCTTGTGTGGCTTGAAAGACATTTGGTTGTGTCTGCTCAGGATTTCTTCCTTCATTTTTTGTCACATTGTCTGAAATTTCATCAGTTTCATTAGAGTCATTCCATTGGACCATCACGAGTTTTCATTTTTAAGGAGTTGTTTGGTGAATACCCTAGTTAAAGGTAATAACGTGGAAATTATCAAATGATCTTACTGGAGTTTGTAATAGATTAGAGCTTTTCTGGATAGCTAGAGAAAGGCTGATTGAGATAGGAGCAGACTGGGTGGTTTTGTTCCACTTGGTCACATCTCATTGACATTTCCTTAAAGTTAATTAACTTAATAATGAAAAATTAATGATTTTAATAATGGAAATAATGGAAGAAATTTCTTTTTTATTAAATTCACATTCCTTCCCCTCAGAAGTTAAAGTTACTACACTTTTAGAAAACACGATGAAAGATTCTATATAGTCCCCAAATAATCTTTAAATACCAGTGAAATTGTTAGTAAGAGAGAAATAACATTTTGCTATGTTACAAAGAAGATGGAGATGTGTAATGTGAACTACAGTATGTGAGATTTGTTGAAGTTGGACTTTATTCTCTTATGTATGTATATCTTCACATAAGTATACAATAAGACTTTTTATTATGGCAATGCTACCTTCTAAAATAAATACCCCCCAACTTAAGTAGTTTAACAGAATAGAAGCCTATTTCTTGCTCATATAACAATCCAAACAATTGATCCTTGGCATATGGCATTCTTCTGTGCTCTGATTCAGTGGCTTTGCCATCTCCTGGGGCCTTATTGTCATGTTCATACAGCTAGCAGAAGGAGAGAGAAAGTATGGAGAAGTTTCACTTGCCTCTTAAGTTGTTGCATGCGTGGAAGTGACATACATCACTTTTGCTCTCATTCCATTGGTGAGAACTAGAGACATGTCCATACCTAGAGGTGCAGAATGCTGGAAACTGCATTCCTGGCTGGGCAACTGTTTCCCAATAACAAACCTATACAATGCAAGGGGGAGGACAGAATTTTATGGACACCTAGCTGCTTGGACTATACGGTATTAATAGATTTGCACAAAACACAAAGATCACACATAAAAGTTACTTATTATCTTATAACTGCGCTTGAAGTATATGATGATGTCTGTGTAAAAATAAAACGCTTTAGGTTGATACTTTTCAATAGTTCTGCATTTTCATTAGCATGAAGTGCTAACTTTTCATTACTTATGTTATTTCTGAGATCCCTTGAATATGAGCAAGAATATTGACTTCTATATTCATTATGTGTGAAAAACTGAGACTTTCTTTCCTTATGTTTAAGGTTGGACAAAATTTGCTCGATTGACACGGGCTTTGACAAATAGCCGAAGTGTTTTGCAACAGCTCACACCAATGAATAAAACAGAGGTGGTCCACAAACATTCAAGACTAGCTGAAGTAAGTGCAAGATTAACCTTACCTCTCAACATGCTGGTGGTGGTACATTTCCCCCATCCAAATGTCTCAATATTGATATTTCTAGCCATTATTTTACAAATACTTATGTGTTAATTGATTTTCCCTTGTAGAATTGTAGAAATTTCATATATTTCTTTTTATGCTTTCCTGCTTTGACAATGGGAAGGTACTTTAAAACATCCCAGGTGATGTCTGTAGAATATGAGGTTTTCTTTGAGCAAATGAGATAGAAAATTCATTCATTCACTTGTGTGTGCAGCATAGACTTATTGAGGGTTTGCTCTATGCTAGGTACTATGTAAAGGATATAAAGATGAATAGGCCATAGACCCTATCATCAAGGAGTTAAATATCCAGCAGAGGAGGGAGGTGGTACCTGAATGAGATGATACCTGGGCTAAGTGAATTTTTTTTTTTAGATTATAGTTGATTTATAATGTTGTGTTATTGGTTTCTGGTATACAGCAAAGTGATTATATATATATAATATAGTATATATTTTTTTATATTCTTTGAATCATAGGTTATTATAAGACATTGAATATATAGTAGTTATAAGATTTTAAATATATGTTGTTTATCTATTTTATGCATAGTAGTTTGTATCTGCTAATTCTAAGCTCCTAATTTTTCACTCCCCCCTTCCCCTTTGGTTACTTTAAGTTTGTTTTCAAAGTCTGTGAGTCTATTTCTATTCTGTAAATAAGTTAATTTGTATCATATTTTATATTCTATATATAAGTAATATATCATATTTGTCTTTCTTTGTCTGACTTACTTCATGTAGTTTGATAATCTCCAGATCCATCCATGTTGCTGAAAATGGCATTATTTCATTCTTTGTAATGGATGAGTAATATTCCATTGTATATATGTACCACATCTTCATCTATTCCTTTGTCCATGGGCATTTAGATTATTTCCATGTCTTGGCTATTGTAAATAGTTCTGTTATAAATATTGGGGTGCATGTATCTTTTCAAATTAGAGTTTTCTCCAGAATTATTGGGCTGAGTGAATCTTGAAGGAAAAATGTAGTGAAGAAGAGATGAAGGTGATTTATGCAAGAGAGACCAGCATGTCCAAAGACTCAGCAATGAGATAGTATGGTGCCTTTGACTGTGAATTCAATGTGGATGAAGTCAGGAAGGAAAGGAAAGGTTAAGGTGGTATATAGTGAACAGTGGTGGTTGGTGTCCCATGTGCCAGGGAAATGACATTGTCATATTTGTGCATCACAAACCTCTCAAAGGGAGATTGGTCTCAGTGGTATTTGTAATCTTGTATTAATTTGAAAACATTATTCTAAGAAGTTGATATCCATAGATGTCACCAGATTCCCGAGAGACCCATGGAACAAAAATGGTCAAGAACCCTTGTTTGACCTAGTGGCTCTGTGTTGAAATGGGAACTAGAGAAACAAGTTAAGAGGTTCTAGTAGTAATGCAGCTAGGACAACTCTGACCTTAAGCAAGGGAGCCAGCAGCGGAAGAGGGCAGATTGCAGATGTGCTAAGATTAGAGTCAACACATTTGTTGATGGGTTAGAAATGAATGTGAGATAGGGGATGAGTCAAGCACAACTCTATGTTTTTGGCTTGAACAACTGGATGGACAGATAGTATTGTTGTTGTTGTTCAGTTGTTAAGTTGTGTCCAACTCTGCGATCCCAGGGACTGCAGCATGCCAAGTTTTCCTGTCCTTCGTTACTCTCAGAGTTTGCTCAAATTCATGTTTCTTGAGTCGGTGATGGTATCTAACCATCTCATTCTCTGCCTCCCTCTTCTCCTTTTGCCTTCAATCTTTCCCAGTATCAGGGTCTTCTCCAGTGAGTTGTTCTTCCCATCATTTGGACAAAGTATTGGAGCTCTAGCTTCAGCATCAGTACTTCCAGTGAATATTCAGGGTTGATTTCCTTGAGGATGGACTGGTTTGATCTCCTTACAGTGCAAGCGACTCTCAAGTCTTTTCCAACACCACAGTTTAAAAGCATCAATTCTTCAGTGCTCAGTCTTCTTTATGGTCCAACTCTCACATCTGTATATGACTACTGGAAAAACCATAATTTGACTCTGTGGACCTTTGTCAGCAAAGTGATGTCTTTGCATTTTAATATTCTTTCTAGGTTTTTCAGAGTTCTTCTCCCAAGGAGCAAGTGCCTTCTAATTTCATGGCTACAGTCACCGTCTGCAGGGATTTTGAAAGCGAAAGCGAAAGTTTCTCAGTTGTGACCAGCTCTTTGCAACCACATGGACTACTATAGTCCATGGAATTCTCCAGACCAGAATACTGGAGTGGGTAGCCTTTCCCTTCTCCAGGGAATCTTCCCAACCCAGGAATCAAACTGGGGTCTCTTGCATTGCAGGTGGATTCTTGGAGCCCCCACCAGATAAAATCTATCACTACTTTCATTTTTTCCCTTTGTACTTGCCATGAAGTGATGGGACCGGATGCCAAGATCTTAGTTTTTTGAATGTTGAGTTTTAAGCCAGATTTTTCACTATCTTCTTTCACTCTCATCAAGATGCTCTTTAGTTCCTCTTTACTTTCTGCCATTAGGGTAGTATCTGCATATCTGAGCTGTTGATGTTTCTCCTGGCAATCTTGATTCCAGCTTATGATTCATCCAGTCCAGCATTTCACTGATGCACTCTGCATATAAGTTAAATAAGCAGGGTGGCAACACACAGCCTTGTAGTACTCTTTTCCCAATTTTGAACCAGTCAGTTGTTTCATGTCTGGTTCAAACTGTTGCTTCTTGACTTGCATACAGGTTTATCAGGAGACAGGTAAGGCTGGTATTCCCATCTCTTTAAGAATTTCCCACATTTTGTTGTGATCCACACAATCAGACTTTAGCATAGTCAATGAAGCAGAAATAGATGTTTTTCTGGAATTCTCTTGCCTTTTCTATGATCCAGTGGATATTGGCAATATATTTGATCTCTGTTTCCTCTTCCATTTCTAAATCCAGCTAGTACATCTGGAAATTCTCAGTTCATGTATTGCTGAAGCCTAGCTTGAAGGATGTTGTCCATAACCTTACCAGCATGTGAAATAAGCACACTTGTATGGTAGTTTGAATGTTCTTTGGCGTTGCCCTTCTTTGGGATTGGAATGAAAACTGACCTTTTCCAGTCCTGTGGCCACTGCTGAGTTTTCCAAATTTGCTGGCATATTGAGTGCAGCACTTTAAAAGATGGTGGCTACTGTTGGTTAATAAGATCTCAGATAGAAGAGGAAGAAAAGGAGGTTTGGGGACAATGATAGTAGATTTACTCTTGGGCCTACTGTTTGAAGTTCCTGACAGGAAATTCAAGTGGAGATCTTTAAAAGGAAGTGGGATTTATGGGTCTGCCTCTCAAGGGGTATCTGGGTTTGAGTTGCAGGCCTTGTATCATCCTCACAGATATGGCTGTTAAAGTCAGAGGACTGGGTGATGTTACCCATACAGAGTGTATTGAAATCAAAGAGAAAAGGAATGAGGATAGAACTCCAAGGCAGCTAGAAATTTTGCTGTTGACATGTTTTACATAATCATCTTGTGTCTTACTGGTACAAAAGATGACAAAATAACTAATCAAGTTGCTATGACTGTGCTGAGCACTTACTGGGCACTCACAAAATATTCTGAGGTAACTAACCAAGGAAGACAAAGATACAGTTAAATATGTAAGTTCATCAGTTTGTTTTGCTGGTGAAAGGTTAGCTGAATTTCTCCAGAGTAACTTTCTTAACTTGTTGCAGATACCAGGTTTCATTTGGAGAAAGTTAGGGAGCAAAAATTCTTCAAATTGGGAGACTTCTGGAATTTTTCTTGGAACATACTAACAGGGTGATGTGTCTGATTTTCTGGTACCTTTGAGGAGAGAGTAATACTTCGATGTGTAGAAATATTTTTAAAAGCCCTAGTAAGACATTAACATACCTAAATGTTAAATGATAATAGTAATCATAATATTTTAAAAGATAATATGCAGTTGGCACAAGATTTAATGCACTCAATCAGATACAACTTCCTGTTTCATATGTTTTTTATTAAGTACTACTTGATTTTGAAGCTACTTTCTTTTCTGCCTTCAGTTGTTCGTTTCTTTCTATAAATCAAGGTAAAGTGTAGGAGCTTATTTCTGTGACTACTGACTTTTTTGTCGTTGACTCTTTCTAGGTCTTAACTACACCCTATCCAGTTTTTCTTTCTTTGTTAATACAACTGAGCAAGCACATGAGGAAAGAGACTATAGAGAGGAAAAATTTCTACCTTAGCACCCCAAATCACTGAAGGTGGTTTTTTCCTCTGCTTCAAATGGAGAGTTCCTATCCCCTGGACAGCTCATCACTTTTCATTTTTACTCTTGATTAATTTTCATTCCTGTTTCTTCCCATCTGATTTTTTTCTTTGTTTGCTTTGCCTTTTGGTTATTGTTCATTTCTTTATCTGTCATCCCTAATTTATAAAGCTGATTCAGATACAAAACTGCTTTGTCAGATCTTAGGCCTTGATTTCAGAGAACATGTGGAAATAACAAGTTTTTCTACACAGAGAGTTAGTCTATGTATACTCTTAGGTTTTCAAAGACTGACCAAAAAGAGGCACCAAGTTAGCATAAAGACAGTTTTTCCAGCTGTAGTCAGAATCATGTAATTTGCTCAGCTTGAGTATTTGAATTTGCTGTTAAATTTCCAGCCCTTTCACTTTTTCCAACACATATACATTTTATCTTATTTCCACTAGGCCTCTTAAATTTAGAGCTGATCCCTGGTTTCAAGGATTCTGGTCTCTGTGTAGGCAATTCATCAGTTTTCAACATGCTCTGTCATTCTACTGATTGAATTCAGCTTCCACTTGCATTTGTGGTTCTGACTCCTTTAGAGTCAGTGTTCTCCTGATATTCAGGAGGAAAGAATGTGTCTGTATCAGTGCAAAAATACATCAGGGCATGTGATTTCATCCCCATCTATCCAAGGCTTACTGCTCCTGAAAGTACAAATGAAATAAAGTGAACAGTTGTTACTCACTGCTTTATAAAAGCCCCCGTGACCGGGCTGAGATTAAAGCAGCGCTCTACATGGGAGAAACATCAAACTGAAGCACATGGCGTGCCCCGTCCCTTTCTTTGCTGGCGTTGCCTTTCTTCTCCTCTTCCTGCTCCTCCTTTTTCTCTTGGAGCAGTTTTGGATTGCTTTAAAAATTCAAGTCACCATCTGAAGAACTGGGTTATGAGTGTTTAAAGAAATAGAAGACAAGGATTTTTATTTTGATCTATACACTATCATCACCTGGAAAGATTTTGAAAGTACAGATTCTCTGAATTTAATTTAATACACAAAATGAATTTAATTATTTTTCTGGCATAGGGGTCTAGGCATGAGTATACTGTATTTTTAACAACTTCTCTAGATGATTCTAGTTTGTGGCCAGATTTAAGAAATACTGAACTCAAAAGTGAGTTCATCTCTAGAGGAGACACCTTATATTATTCCAGGGTGCTGAGTGGGACCAATTTGTCTATTAGCACAGAGCGTAGCACCAATAACACTTTCAGGGGTCCACCACGATGCCTGAATTTCTACTAGCAGTTAAGGAAACGATGAACTTTTAGGTAAAAAAATAAATAATTAAATATTCATCTTTGTAATAATGCTGTTAAAAATATAATTTTAAATAAAAATATTAAATAAATTATATTTTTATTTAAAATGTAATTTTAAATAAAATTTATACATTTATGTTGCATTTATATTTAAATAAAGATAAAGATAAATAAAAATAAAGATTATATTTAAATAAAGATAAAATATTAAATAAAATAGAATTTTTATTTTATTATTTTTAAGGAGGAAGGGGTCCAGGAAGGCAAAAATAAAGGTCCTAATGCAACCTGGCACTGAGTTTATTTTCTAAGTGTGTTTCTTTGTACTCAAACTACAGAGTGTGTAAATACAGATGGTATAATACTAACAATGAATATGAAGGAAATTTTCATGTTTAACCGTGATGTTGGAATGAATAGATCTGTAGCTGAAAGGTGAAAGAGAAGCCATGATTCTGTAGGAGTCTGTATATGTAATTCTGTGTCTCAACATGAAACTTAACCTACCTGTAGGATAATTTGTTGCTAGGTAATTTAAGATCTCATGGAAAAAGTATTACTGGGGTACTGATAATGAGCATAAATATGTAAAAATCTTTATAAATAATTCTTATAACTCCCAAACTTAAAACAATAATTATAATATACATCTAAAGAGAATATCAGTGATTTTTGCACATTTCAAAATAGCAATGATTATATTATATGCTGTATTCAGCTGTATAAGTTCTATGTATGAGAGACTTCAGGATAAGTCTCAAATTTCAAAAAATGCTAGTTTACTTATTTTGCTTTGAGGCATATAAATTACAGGCTAACAGGTATTTTTGTTTACCTCTATGTGTGCATTGACATAAATTTAGTGCAGTTATGATTTTATAATTTGAACTTGTTGACTCCTATTTTCTGGGTCCCATTAGTCTTAGGGACACTGAATAATTGAATGTGTAAGTGGTAAAGCTGCTGAAAATATTGTTCATCAAAGTCCCACTTATAAACTCCTTAATACACAGGTTTACTCAGTTATAGCTTCATTGGTGGCATGAAGCAGAGGTCTTCAACCCGCTTCTTCAACTCCTTTTCGCAATTTCCATGTTCCAGGTTCTGGAAGGAGGTGCCAAGTACTGTGTTTGTTACCTTTTCCCAGGGTTGCCCAGACCTCTGCTCTTGCACTGTCATCTGCTTTTTCTCATTGTCTCTTTAGTGAGACCTAATCAGTATAAGTCAGGGTTCATATAAATTTGTATGAAAAATTGTCAAATTGTCAAAAAGGTATAGAGAAACAAACCTGACTATTTGGAATTTTTTTCTAAAGGAAATTTGCGTCTGGGGAGGAAATCCAGTATTCTTTAAATCTGATTGAAAGGGAAATGGGGGAAAGCAGGCTATAACATTTATAACTCTGATACTGCTGTGCCCATGAGTAGGGCCCTGGTTGAGTCCCATGCAACAGCAAGATCATGAATAATGGGGCCCTGGGATTCAGCAAGGCCTTTAGAATCAAAGTTATGCTCCTTCAAAGCCCAAATATATAAAGAATGGATAATGGTGAGCCATGCAAATAATAGCTGGACAGTCTGTGAGATGTGTGATTCTAGGCACCTTTGCCCAGTGGATGTGCAGAAGGCACTTCCAGTAGTGGATGTCCAGCAGTGCTGTGGATCAGTGTTGGTGTTGGAGGAGGTCATCAAGAGGATGGGACTGCCAGGTGATCCTTGAGCTGGACCCAGGCAATTGGAAGCTCCTCACCCCCTCCCTTGTCCTTGAAATGTACTTTTTGCCCACCATTCCCATCGTGAGAGCTTTTCAAGGATACAGTCTTGAGAGAGTTAGCTGTGGTTGAGACCATCTGGACTGTGTATATGACTGAAGCCAGTTAAACCCCTGTATAAACTTTTAAGATTTGGTGGTGGGTTCTGAGACCTCTGGTTTTATGGCTACCCAATAAAACCTTGTAAGTTCCCTTGCCTATGAAAACTGCCACCTGCCAATCTGGAGTGGTCTGCCTTTCTTTGGTCTCTTTCTGCCCTCCGTGTGTGGGGACCAGTTTCTGAACGAGTTGGCCATGGGAGAGGAAGTTAGAGGGAATGGCAGACAGATCAACTTCGATAGAGTGATTGGCCTTGTAGTGACTTTGGACGAACCTTGATACAACTCAGGAGAAGAGATATAATTACAGAGCATGGCTGGCTTTGAAACCAGTGGTTTGGATGCCAGAAAATTTGAATTCATTACTAACTTTGCAGAGATGTATGGGTCACTTATAAATACATTTTGTCTCTTTTAGGTTCTTCAGCTGGGATCAGATATCCTTCCTCAGTATAAGCAAGAAGCGCCAAAGACACCACCACACATTATTTTACACTATTGTGCTTTTAAAACAACTTGGGATTGGGTGATTTTAATTCTTACCTTCTACACCGCCATTATGGTTCCTTACAACGTCTCCTTCAAAACGAAGCAGAACAACATAGCCTGGCTGGTGCTGGACAGTGTGGTGGATGTTATTTTTCTGGTTGACATTGTTTTAAATTTTCACACAACCTTTGTGGGACCTGGTGGAGAGGTTATTTCTGACCCCAAGTTGATAAGGATGAATTATCTGAAAACTTGGTTTGTGATCGATCTGTTGTCTTGTTTACCTTATGACATCATCAATGCCTTTGAAAATGTGGATGAGGTAAGTTTCTTTTTTTTTTTTTTAGTACTTTAATCACGTGTTTTGAGAAAATTAGGATAAAAGGAGTTTATAAATAACATAAACTTCTTTATAGTCATCACTTTCAACTTTTATCCTGCTAAATACCTGCCATAAATGATCATATTTTATTACTTTATAAATTTTACTCACTCTTTAAAAAGTATCTGGTTGAAAATACTAGGAAATGGCTGTGGTTGAAAGTTGTGTTTGAAGGAGGAGAAGAAAAGCCACAGCCTTTGAAGTCAAATATGGTTTATGAAATAGACAGTTGATTGAAAGATAATGAAATAAATGTATTTTTTGGGGAAAACAGTAGCATTTTAAAACTCTGTGCACCCACAGATGTTTTGATTCCTCCCCTCCAGATACATATGGTAGCAGTGCTTGTGTTAACAAAAAGATCCAGAAAACTTTTATGGTAGAGAAATTCTTGAAGTTTTGCCTTTTTGGTTTCTCTTTTTTATACTTTTTTCTTTAAATTTTGCCTAATAATTTGTGGTTAGAGACTGTATTAGATGACTTCCGATATCTGGTCTAATTCAAGAATTTGCTTTTTCAGTGTCATCTGCACAACTAGAAATGTTAAAACTTATGTAATGTCTTAACGACCATTTCATCCAGAGCTTCTGAGTTTCTAACTTAGTTGTGGATGATTTTCAACTTGCTATACCAAGAATGTATATAAGTGAATCAATATAGAATGTATCTGTTTTTAAAATGTGTTCATAATAGTAATTGCAAACTTAATTTCCCTAAAGATTCTACTTTGTCCTCATAGACTGTTCAGATAGAAAATTCTCCACTACATTGTTGTCGTTCTGTGTGTGTAGGGAGGTAGATTGCAAACTTTTCTTCAGGATCTTTTTCCATAAAGATTTCTGCATTGAATCAGCTTTAATGATACTAAAAGATATTTCCAGAAAGTTTAGTATAGACATTGTATTTTGATGCTATACACATAATTGTTACTTTAAAAATTCAAGGAAAAAAGAATCATAGTAATTTGTTTCTAATTTTAAATTCCATCTACATCAAGCTTTTAAGGTATATTTCTTTCCTATTTCCCTTCTGGAAGGATTGATATGGGTTCATTTTGAAAATGCTAATCTTATGATAAGAAGATAATAAGTAGTATTTATATGTTCACTTATATTAAATAGATTAATATATTCAGATCAATGCATTAAGATTTCCATTATTTAGAACAATGGCATAAAGATTTTAATACAAATAATCAAAAGATTGGTTTAGTTCACAGAAAAGAAAATAAATTAGGTTGCATAATAATAAATGCATCTAATATACTATATAAATAAATGACAATATCCTCAGATTTATTAAGGAAAATGCAAAGTAAACTTACAGACTATACTGACATGCCATCAGTTATCACACATACTGGGTTGGAGAATATGGTGTCTGAGAATGTGTACTGCTTAGATCTCCCTTCATGGAAGCCTGCTGCATGAAGCACAGTTAGGGGCTTCCTGGAAGTGGCTCCTGGTTTGGAAAAGACATTCTTTAGCATCCCTTTCAAACTCAGCATTCAGTGATATCACACTGTCACCCTGGTACTTTGAAATTGGCCACAATGGGAGTATTTACACCCTTAAAGTGGCAAATGCTATAAATAAAGACTTAAAAAAAAACTTTCTATGGCATTAGTTGTTAACCATTTACCAATATACCACTGAATGCAGTTGACTGACACGTGCTATGGCTTTCTGATCTGCTGCGGGTCACAGTTCGAAGCTGTTTCCCCAAGGCTGCACTCAACCAGTGCCTAGGGATAGTGGTAATATTATGATTGGGCTTATCAGATGGCTCAGTGGTAAAGAATCTACCTGCCAAGCAGGAGACGTGAGTTTGATCTCTGGGTTGAGAAGATTCCCTGGAGAAGGAAGTGGCAATCCACTCCAGTATTCTTGCTTAGAAAATCCAATGAACAGAAGAGCCTGGCTACAGTCCATGGAGTCACAAAGAGTCAGACATGACTTAGTGATTAAACCACCACCACCAATATTATAATTAGTTACTCCTGCTCAAGAAGAACTCCTCTGCTGAGCACCTTTTGCCCTGGAACTTCCCATTTACCTGTGCGGTGGTTGAGGCTCTTACTACACAAGTCTTCCTTCCATCTTCAAAGGTTTCAGATGTGCACTGTGGTCTGAAGACTCCTCCCTCCTTTCTCCTTCATAGGCATTTATCTCAGTGAAAGTCTTGCATATCTAACCCTGACTTGGTATCACTCAGTAAGGGATCTGAGTTGATGTAGTGGTGGTATGAAGTCTCTTATACATTGCTCAAGGGAATACTGGTAAAACTTACATGAAGAATAATTGGCAATATCTAATTTTTTAAAAGAAAAGACCCTAGAGACAACCGCTTTCAGACTGTTTAGGGGATTCTTTTAATATTTGCTCCCATCACCAAACAGCAAGACTGTGTACAACAGCTTTCAGACTGTTTAGGGGATCTTTTAATATTTGCTTCCATCACCAAACAGCAAGACTGTGTACTTACACCTTTTGGGACTTGTCTTTGACTTCTCACTATGAAATTGGAGCTTTCAGCCTCTTTCTCCCTGCCCTCACTGTATCCATGCACTTATTTCCATCACCTCATTCTCACACTATAGATATATCATCCTTTTGGTTGCATAAATAGTGTTTATATCACCGTGTCTACAAATAATGCTATTTATAACTGAAAGTGAAAGTAAAAGTCACTCAGTTGTGTCTGACTCTTTATGACCCCATGGACTACACTGTCCATAGAATTCTCCAGGCCACAACACTCTAGTGGGTAACCTTTCCCTTCTCTAGGGGATCTTCCCAACCCAGGGATTGAACCCACATCTCCCTCATTGCAGGCAGATTCTTTACCAGATGAGCCACAAGGGAAGTTCATTTGTAACTGAACCTTCAGCATATTGTGATTACTTTTCCTCTTCTGCACTTTCCATTTTCCTGAGAGTTGATAATTGTCTGGTTTTATCATTTGCTTCCTTTTATGTACTCATCACTCACTCAACCACTAAACTCTGCCAATTGTCTAAAACTCCCTTCCTTACATTGATGCAAGCAATATCCTATCAACATCATTTTCTTAAACAGATCTCTCTTCATCCTACCCTCCTACCTGATGGGTAGTTTGACTATCTGCAATATTCTAGACCATTGATAATTTATCCTCAGATTTGAAGGACATGGTACCATTACAGTCTACCTTCTAATAATTCTCATAAGAAACTTGGAGGCATTGTGACCTATTTTCTCTTTCTGGAAATTTGATATATCTTCTCTATCTAGGGTTCTGAATCTTTCCAGTACTATGCTTTATTGTGAGTCCATTTGCACCCATTTTGCTGGGCACTGTCTGGGTAGTCTTTTTCAATCTGGAAAAGCATGTCTTCTGTTTCAATTTTGTTTCTTATAATTTTTCTCCATCTCCTTTCCCACTCTTCTCTGTTCTCTCTCTTGTTGAAACTCCTTTTATTCTAATACCTACTAGACTCTTCTAATTCCTTTTTCTCTCTTTCCTTATTTTCCAATCCTTTATCTTTTTGCTATACTTTCTGGAAAATTTTCTCAACATTATTTTCCAACTTTTCTTGTAACTAATAATGCCTTTACTTTCCCCTTAAAGTTTGTTTGGCTTGATACTAAGAGCTAAACTAGCATTTGTATATTACTTGATATATGTATTTCTATCATTTAACTTTTAATCATTCTAGATCATTATACTCTAGTTGTGTCTTTTGTAAATAGTCTATACATACTGAGAGTTTCTCTGACTGGGAAGGTCAGTCTGTTTACATTTATTGTGATTAATTACTTTTTGATTTAGGTAGAGCATCTTATTTTCCACTCTAAAATGTGTTTTATTCACTTTTATCTCTCTTTTTTACTTTATTCTTCTTCTTTTCTGCTATTTTTTGGACTGACTGAATTTTTAAAATCTTCTAGATTCCCTCTAATGGATTGGAAGTTTTTATATTAATTGATTGCTCTTAATGTTTATCTTCAGTATTTGACTTATAAGTGTCTTTGCCCTTCTAAGTAAATCAAGGGCCTCTGTTTGCTTTCTCATTTTTCAGACTAGTGTTGTCTTATATTTTGGTTACACATTTTTTTAAAGTTTCTCTTTCAATTATTGGGTGACTTCTTTAGGACTTTGTTTATTGTGAGCCTTTGGGATGGTGACTATAGATTTCAGTTTGCATATCTGTAAAAAAAAAAAAGGAAGGGATGCTTGACTTTTTTACTTCACAAGATGTTTAAGAGTCGATGGAAAACTAGATATGAATGAGTTTTATTTGTAGAATTGTGCATGTCTGAAGGGATCTTATTGTTTCGCTTGTATGTGTCTATTTCCTCAGCTTGGTGACATGGCCTGTGATGGTTAGGAATGCATTCCATCTCCTTGCCAATTCTTCACTGCTTACTGTATGTTGGTGACTCACTGACCTGAAGCAATAAAGTGTTAGTAAGGTTTTAGTAGATTGTACCAGGACATAAATAGAATTTAAAACAAAATAGAATTTAAAAATGAGGAATTGAGCTACTGGTAACTTGGGAATAGGAGAATATGACTCTGAAGAACATAGTTTACTCCTTTAACATGATACGGTGCAAAATAATTTAGGATGTAATGACATTTTCATATTCAAGAGTGTCTCAGATGACATGCTTTCTGAAGACAACTTGATTTACTAGGAATTCACTAACTGGATATGTCATTCTTTAAGATAACTGTGAGGCTGGGAAGATAGAGTCCATTGAAGGAAAGAATTCTGTTTGAAAAGAAATAATGTCAATTTCCTAGATAATATAATGGGGGGTAAAAGACAGTATCACAAGGAATCTAAGGAATAAAAACAAACTCCTTTGTAATAAGTATTTGAATACAGCTCTGGGAGGTCCAGGGAACTTGATTTCTGGGAGGTTAGGGGGAACTGAATTATAAGACATCATAGA